ACATTACTTTGGTCAACTTTAACAGCATCCTCTTCAAAAACTTTTATATTATAAATTATTCCTTTATTATATCCTTCCTAATTTTATGATTGGCATTTTATCTCTAAATATTTCATAAACAATAAAAATAATTTTGAAAAATTAGTACAATAACAGAAACGAAACATACATTACACGCAAAAATAAATCAGATCGCCACACACTACTTACCATGATATACGTTTTCATTAGTTAAGCTTTCCCGTGTTTTGTATATTTAAACTATACAATGAGGAGTATAAATGAGGTCCTTTTTCGGTGTAGCTAGGAGTAGATGAGTACATATAATATAATAATTATATTTTAATTATATATCTGTATTATTATTCTCATATTATTCCAGTACACACAAACTATAAAAGTAATATTTCAAACATTTACCAAATAATTGACATAACAAAATTTTAGTGATTATATGTTAATGTTCGAAATATTACTTTTATAGTTTGTGTTTACTGGAATAATAATAGGAGAATAATAATACAAATGTATAGTATAACAATTATAATTAAAATATAATTATTATATTTTAATTAAAATATAATTCTTATATTGTATGTAAATAATAAGTGCATGAATAATTGCATTAAAATCTTTTATGTGCGGGCAATGTATATGCAGAAACTGAGATGCATTCAATCTTTGACGCTAATCTTCGGAAAGTAGGTGCAACGACAATCCACAAATGGCGCACTCATCTACTTCTAGCTACACCGAAAAAGGACCTTATTTATGCTCCTCATTGTACACTTCAGAGGATCAATCATATAACTTTACGTGAAATTTTTTACTTTTCATTTTTCACTTTTTATTTTTCATTTTTCACACCTTGACATTTCATGTGAAACTTTTCACGTACAGCAATTATGTATGTAGCTTGAATGCGTGGAAAGTAAAATCATGAAACATAGTTTCATAGGTTTTATAGCTAATGAAAATTATTTTATTGGTACAATATTATATACATTTTTTAATAATTGTATATACTACGTACATTTAATCTTAACGCAGCCCTAATCTTCTCTAATTCCGAAGCATATTTATTAATTCCCTAGATTTCCGCCTTTTCGCCACCAAGATACATGGTGAAAAAGTTCATGTGAAAAATTTCACATTTTCACGTTTGAGAGAATTACATGATCTCGCAAAATCGTACATGATCGTAAATTCACGTGAACCTTTTCACTTTTCACATTTCTGCTCTAGGGGAAAAGTTAGATGATTGATCCCCAGGATTAGTTTATGGAGGCCGTAATCTGTTAACTTATGCCTTAACCGTAAAAATTGACGAATCATAGTCGATTATTTTTCTAGAATTCGATTATGATTGGTCAATTTTTTACGGTTACGGCATAAATTAATAGATTATGGCCTCCATAAACCAACCCTCAATCATACTTCTCCAAGCAGTAGCATGAGTGTCAGTCCACAATAGGTGATTTAAGCTTTAAGAAGTAAGAAATTGACCAATTATAATCGAATATGAAAAGAATAATCGACTATGATTGGTCAATTTCTTACGGCTTAAAGATTAAATACTTATTGTGGACCGACACTGAGAACGAGTTAGGGTGCGTTCCTTTATTCACTTCGAGTACTATCAGTACTACGGGTATATTCCGAATGGTGATAGTTTAGCTTGTTTTTTTCTAGGTGTTAGCTGCCATGTAACTAAACCGAGAAGTGTTTCGAACCATAGATACCTTATAGATATGGACTGGCAATTGCTATAGTTTCTGCATAAGAAACAGTGTCCGCGGGAGATTAAACAGAAAGACATACTTTTTGATACTTCTTTCTCTTAAAATGTCCGAAAATCTGTATTGCACATGAGTTCGAAACATATGGCGGATTAATATAATAATATGATCGAAAAATATAAATATTGAAGAGTAAAGAATGAAAGACTTCATAATCAAACATATAAAATGCAATAAAATAAAAAAAATATATATAGAAAAATGAAAAAACATCAGATAAAACTTTTAGATTAATTTGTGGAAACAGTTTTAAAATAAAAAATGTAATTCTATGTCGTTCTATATATATGTGATTCTATATCG